GCGTTAAGGGCTTTTAACATCCAGGTTACAAATTACTCCAAAAAGTCTGTGAACAAGCACAAAGTATAAGAAAAGGAAGAAGGAAAAAGAGAAGACACACTTTATTTAAGTAATTAAAGCAAGCAAATGAAATAAATGTCAGTTTCTATCTCAATGTATTTTTAAAATTTTGTTATATATTATATCAAGAATTAGCTTTATTATAACTATTATCTAGGACTTTTTATTTTTTCTATTAATTGTTGTTCCATTACAGCTGTCCTCATTTTTACCCTATTACTGTCTCCTGCTCTCCCCTCCCCCATCTTCCACATTCAAGTCTCCCCTTGCCCCGTGGTCTTTGTCCATGTGTCCTTTATACATGTTCCCTGATTCTTCCCCTTCTTTCCCCCATTATCCCCCTCCCTCCTCCTCTCTGATCACTGTCACTTTGTTCTTTATTTCCATGTCGCTGTTTCTATTTTTCTTAGATATTTGTTTTGTTGATTAGGTTCTACTTATAGATGAGATCATATGGTATTCTGATCTCCGAAATTCATAAAGAACTCACATGATTCCACACCAGGATGACAAATAATCTGATTAAAAAGGAGGCAAAGGACCTGAACAGACACTTCTCCAAGAAGGACATACAGAGGACCCAGAGACATATGAAAGGATGCTCAGCATCACTAGCCATCAGAGAGATGCAAATTAAAACCACAATGAGATACCATTTTACACGTGTCAGAATGGCCATCATTAACAAATCAACAAACAAGTGCTGGAGAGGATGTGGAAAAGAGGGAACCCTAGTGCACTGTTGCTGGGAATGAAGACGGGTACAGCCACTGTGGAAAACAGGATGGAATTTCCTCAAAAAATTAAAAATGGAACTGCCTTTTGACCCAGCAATTCCACTGCCAAGATTACACCCTAAGAATCCTGAAACATCAATCCAAAAGAACCTATGCACCCCAATGTTCATAGCAGCACCATTTACAATAGCCAAGTGCTAGAAGCAACCTAGGTGACCATCAGTAAATGAGTGGATCAAAAAACTGTGCTACATTTACACAATGGAATTCTATGCAGCAGAAAGAAAGAAGGAGCCCCCACCCTTCACAACAGCAAGGATGGAACTGAGAGCATTATGCTAAGTGAAATAAGGCAGGTGGTGAAAGACAAATACCTTACCTAGGACTTTTTAAATAGTGCACGCTATCATAGGAAGAAAACATACAAGATTTTAAAATGAAAAAATTTAATTTCTTTTCTATAACAAGGCAAAATATAATTAATAAATTCAAACTTTTCTCCTTCAGTCAAACTTCCAGGTTTAAGCCATATGACTGGTACTACAAAACCAATTAGTCAATCTGTATATAGTTTATGTTTCATACTGGTACATTGATTGAGCTATAGCAATGATCAATGAGATTTTATCATGAAGAAGTGAAAAGGCTGGAGTTGAAGAAGTCATTAGAAGAATAAAATCTTAGCCATTTTGCTTAAAAGAAATGTCACATTATCAAACATATAAACAGAACAGGTGGCTTTTTTTCGCATGCATGCAGAATCAGGACATTGAAGGTTTCCAAATTGTATGGGATCTTTACAAATCCTTTAGTCTGACTCCCTGTTTTTGCAACTAAAATAACTGACATACAATATTATATTGATTTCAGGTAAGTAACATCATGATTCGACATTTGTATACTATGTGTAATGGTCATCACAATGAGTCAGTGCAGTTATCCTCTGTCACCATAGAAAATCACTGCAAGTAATTGCTGTAAGTTACATCTCCATGACTTATTTCAAGACAGGAAGCTTGTACTTCTCACCTTGATGCCCCTCACCTGTTTCACCCATTCCCCAACCACCCTCCCTCCTGGCAACCACCAATCTGTTCTCTGCATCTATGAGTTGGGTTTTGTTTCGTTTGTTTGCTAGTTTTGTTCATTAGATTCTACATGTAAGTGAAATCAGATGGTACCACCTTTCTCTGTCTGGCTAATTTCATTTAGCATCATGCTCTCCAGCTCCATCCTTGTTGCAAATGACAAGATTACATTCTTCTTTATTGGTGAGTAATACCCCATTGCGTGTATATATGTACCCGACACATTTTCTTTATCTATTCATCCATCAGTGGACACTTGGTTTGTTACCATATCTGAGCTATTGTGATGAACATGAGGGTGCATATATCTTTTAGAATTAGTGTTTTACTTTTCTTCAGATAAACACGTAGAAGTGAAATTGCTAGCTCTTTTGGCTATTTTTTTAAATCTTTTGAGGTGTCTCCATACTGCTTTCCACAGTGGCAGCACCACCAACAGTGCACTAGGGTCCCCTTTCTCCACAACCTCGCCAGCACTCGTTGTTTGTTGATTTATTAATGATGGCAATTCTGAGATGTGTGAGGTGATATTTCGTTAGGTTTTGATTTGCATTTCCCTGATATTTAATGGTGTTAAACAATTTTTTACTTGCCTCTTGTTTATCTGTATGTCTTCTTTAGAGAAATCTCTATTCAGATGATCGGCCCATTTTTTAATCTGAATGATTATTGTTTCTTTTTGAGTTGTATGAGTTCTTTATATTTTGGCTCTTAACACTTTACTGGGGGTTATGCTTTGTGCCTGTTTCCAGACTTTTAAAACTCTTTTGTAATTTAGACATTAAAAGTCTTTAATAGTGTACTCTCCCTCTACTCCCATTTCATGACTTTCTTTTTTATTTTGGTGATTGTTTCTTTCACTTTAATTAGATATGGTCCAATTTGCTTATCTTCATCTTTGTTGCCCTTGCCTTTGGAGTCATATAAAAAAAATTGGTAAGAGCCCTGGCTGGTGTCGCTCAGTGGATTGAGCGCAGGCCTGCAAACCAAACAACTGTGGTTTGATTCCCAGTCAGGGCACATGCCTGGGTTGCAGGCCAGTTCCCAGCAAGGGGACATGCAAGAGGCAACCATACATTGTTATTTCTCTCCCCCTCTCCTTCCCTTCCCCTCTAAAGATAAATAAATCTTTTTTAAAAAGGAAAGATATTTAAAAATAAAATTGGTAAGAGTACCACATGGAGCTTACTACTATGTTTTCATGTAGCCACTTTATGTTTCAGGTCTTACATTCAAATCTTTGATGCATTTTGAGTCAATTTTTGTGTATCGTGTAAGATAGAGGTCGTTTTCCAACATCACTTCTTGAAAAGAGTGCCCTTTCCACATTGCATATTCTTGTCTCCTTTGTTGTAAATTCATTGATCATATATGCACATCAGAAGTGAGTCTTTTGTAAGCACCATATACTCGGACCTTGTTTTTTATTCATTCAACAAGTCTTGTCTTTTAACGGGTGAATTTAGACCATTTATGTTTAAAATAATTATTGATAGGTGTGCACTTACTATCATTTTGTTCACTGTTTCCTGGGAATTTTATAGTTTTTCTGTTCATTCCTTTTTCTCTTGCTTTTTTCCCCAATGGGGTGGAGTTGAGAGGCAGAATGATGAGTCAAGGTCTGTTACCACTGATGAAGTAATGTGTCCATGGCCACGTGGGGGTCAGAGGGCAGTGAGAAGGCACTCCTCTTAGCCAGGGTGGGAGCAGTGGAGGCTGGATGGAGGCCTTCACGACAATCAGTCAGCAATAATGGGGCAGACTTTCAAGCTCCAGCTGTCAGCCGAGGCCAAGTTAGGAACCAGGACTTCCACTACTTCATCGTAGTGTCACTCTTGACCGTGACAAGATGGCCCCTCTTTTCCCCTCCAGACCAGTGTCAGAAAAGGCTTGCTCAAACAGGGTGATATCTAAGCCTCATTATAACCTAACAAAATAATTGAGCATCATCCCCAAATTACTCATTATGTTAAGCACCAGGATGACTTCACTTTAACGAGAAAAGACAATTCAAAGATGCTAATGTGACACAGCTACTGGAGTTATCTGAAGATTTAAAACAACCATCCTAAAAATGCACCAATGAGCAATTACAAACATGCCCAACCAGATTATTCTTCCACTTCTCATAATTCTTATAGCAGTTTGAATAAAACAATATTAAGTTTACAGAAAAATAATTCTAGCTAATGATATTGCATTTCCCTCCTGTGAATCTCTAGAGTCCACAGTTTATTGGTGCCTCTCCTACTCACATTCTGCCTTTTAGAGCTACTTCTGTGTTTGTCTTAACTGTCCCCCTACATTGTGAGTCCTGAAGCCCAGGGCATAGTCCACATCCATCCTTATCTACCCTGAAATGTGCACTCTACTTGGTTAATATTGTCTGGTTCCATCAGGTGTGCCAGAAGATTGAGAACGCTTCAAATCAGGCATGTCAGCCTCTGCCTCTTCAGAATTCCCATAAGTACACAGTTTAGGCCTAGGCATAGTGACAACTAATGTATGATCGCTGATTTATACTTACTGAAACACCTCTAAGAAATATGTTGCAGAAGGCATAATATCTGAAAGTGCTGGAGACAAATTTTGGTACATATAGAAAAAAGAACAGATAATGTAGTCTCTAACTTTAGTCTCATTAAAGAGAAATAAACTCAGGACTTATACATATGGTAGAAGTTTGATAATGGGATTAAGCATTCTAAGGAAACATCGACAACAAAAGTAGCATTTGAGGAATATAAATGTCCTCAAACTATATTTCCAATAAACTTGAGAAAAACTACAGACAAAATTGGAAAGTCACAGAAATTCTTTCACCAATGAACATAATAATAATAATAGTGCCTGTAAGGATTTAGCCACAGCAATGTTTAGAAGGAAGGGGAAGGTATGAACTGACTTACTGTATGAATATACACTGTGTGAACAAAAATGGTGAATAAAAAAATATATGGGTTGAACAATAAAGTAAATTTAAATTAAAAATAAATGAAAAAAATATATATATGGCAAAAGTATATAACCACAACCCTGACAACTGCAACAATATTAGCCCTCTTTACTGCCTAAACAAACACAAAAGACAAAATACACAGACTGCTGTGCTTACATGTGCCTTTCATGCATGTCATGGTTGAAGAACATAACTCAATGACCCGGACAGCAGAAGTTCCTGCTTCCTCTGGCGGCACTGTCAGAATGGAAATCTAAAATGCAGAAATACAATATGAGACATAGCTGTTAGATCTCATTTTCATTTCTTCTATCTTTAGAGTATAGTTAGCATCCAAACTGTCTTTCTGCAAGCACTCGATCTGAGAGCAGCATTGGATGCACATAACATGCACATACGTCCCAATGTCTGATTTCTGCACTGATTATATATATATATTTTTTTTTTATTTTTTTTTATTTTTTTGTTTATTTAGTTACTTTTCAAGTACATTTTTTTCTCTCTCCCCCCCCCCGCCCGATCTCCCCCTTCCCTTCCATTCCCCCCCCCAGTCCTCATCTCTGTGTCTTTCATACTTGTTCCTCAAAATCCCTCCCCCTTTTTCCCCTTAAGTTCCCTTCCCTGTCCCCTCTGGTCGCTGCCCACTTGTTCTCTATTTCAGTGTCTTTGTTTTTATTCTGTTTGCTTGTTTGTTTTATTCTTTAGCTTCCTGTCAAAGGTGAGATCATATGGTATTTGTCCTTCAATGCCTGGCCTATTTCACTCAGCATAATGCTTTCCAGTTCCATCCATGTTGTTGCAAAAGGTAGTAGCTCCTTCTTTCTCTCTGCTGCATAAAATTCCATGGTGTATATGTACCACTGATTATATATTTATCTATCATATATGGTGCATTGATATAATCAATAAATAATATTTCAATTATTTGTTTTAAAAAGATTTTATTTATTTATTTTCAGAGAGAGGGGAAGGGAATGAGAAAGAGAGGGAGAGAAACAGCAATGTTTCGTTGTCTTTCATAACGTCCCTACTGGGGATGTGGCCCACACATGTGCCCTGATTGGGAAATTGAACCAGCGACCCCTTGGTTCACAGGCTGGAGCTCAATCCACTGAGCCACACCAGCCAGGGCTCAAAAAATTCTTAATATCTACTAAATCCTTCATTTATTTTCAAAGGATACAATTATGACTTATTACTTCTGAATTATGTGCACGTCGTTGTTTGACATCAGATCATATTAAATCAATTTTGATTACTTATAACTAAATAGCAGTTATAAAATACTAAACAATTTTTAAATGTTACAAATTCCAAATATATTAAGACAAGCAAAATAGTGTCAACACATACAACAAAATGTAGCCAAAAATATTCCAAAATATTTCAAAATGCATGGCTTCGAGTTAATTTATGGATTCCATTAATAAAACAAGAAACTCAGAATTAAAAGTAAAATGGAAAATAATTATTAAGTAATGTTTACTGATATACCATGTGCTGTCCTAGGCATTACTTATATGTTACATGGCTTTATATTTAAAAGTTTATTTTTTTAAAGGTTTAATTAATTAATTAATTATAGAGAGAGGGCAAAGAAGGGAGAAAGAGAAGGAGAGAAACACCAATATTTCTCTTGTGTGGTTGCCTATCAAACACCCCCTACTGGAGGCCTGGCCTGCAACTCAGGCATGTGCCCTGACTGGGGATCAAACCAGCAACCATTTGGTTCATAGGCCGGCACTTAATCCACTGAGCCACCCCAGCCAGGGCTCAAAGACTTTTAAATGAGCATTTGTTCAATAATTTCAATCTCACCTTCACCCTGAGGAAATACCAGTATGTGCTCTCATTTGGGAAATACTTGCCAAAAGGTAAGCCCACTTGGATTTTGACCTGTGTGTATTACACTTTGGTTTGGCTTGTCAATGTCAGGTTGACAGCCCGCAAAGGCAATGCTTACAAGTTCTCGACACGAATTCTTTTGACAACCATGATGATCTGACTGTCATATTACTTGTAGTGTATTTGCAGGCTTACAGTGTCTCAAAACCAGTGTTCTCCATATTCCTCTTAACTCTTTTTGCTGCTGTCCTAGAAATTGCACTTTAGCATTAAAGAGAAAGGAGCCACTAAAATACGTATTTAATGTTGTGCTATCATTATCAAATGATTATGACTAAAGCATGAAGGAAAGGTCTCTTAAAGACCACAAAAGCATGAGACACTTCTTTTGTTTCCTACAATGATCATCTCCAATTTTTTACAATTGGGATATAATGAGGAACCCACTCCCATGCCACCTGCCATCTCCTGACCTCTGAGAAAACAACATCGGACACAAAAAGAAAGGCCGAGCAGATGTATATTTTAGACTCATCACTCTGACTGATGTGTGGAGGATGGATTTGAAAGAGATGAGATGAAAGGCAAGGCAGCCAGTTATTTGTTTGTTTGTTTAATTTTTTTTTTTACTTTATTGGGGTGACATTGGTTAATAAAGCCATGTAAGTTTCAAGTGTACAACTCTACAATACATCACTACTATATATTGTATTGCGTGCTCAACACCCAAAATCAAATCTCCTGTCACCATTTACCCCCTATACCCTTTACTACCCCCACCCCCTTTTTCTCTGGTAACCACCATACTGTTGTTTGTATTTTTATATGTTTTTTTCTTTTTAATCCCTTCATTTTCACCCAGCCTTCCCGACCTCCATCCCTGACAGCTGGCAGTCTGCTCTATGTGCCTATGATTCTGTCTCTATTTTATTTGTTAGTCTATTTTGTTCATTAGATTCCACATGTAAGTGAAATTTAGAAGGCAGAGGTAATATTTCAAAACAGGAGCAGTGAGCATAGAAACTGAGAGAAGTAACAGATTGAAGCAAGTCTAAGAAGTACACGCTCAGAGTCTGGAGGCTTGTGGGATGTCAGAGATGGGAGGAAGAAGCTGTTATAAGGGTGTCAGTGCTATTCATGGAGGTACAGAGTGCCGGATATGTAGTTTGGGGGGTGGGGAAGATGGTGAGTTCCACGCTGTGTGTGTTCAGTTTGAGGGCTCTAGGACAGATGTCCCCCAGGAAAATCAGCCTAAGGACCAACACTCCTAGGAGATCAGTAAGTCCTTGTCACCAACATTTATGCAGAGTTGAAGTCACGAAGAGTACATGGAGTCAGGCAGCAAGGAAACACAGCGAGAGGTTTTTGTGGATGGAAGCAAGAACTCTCGGGAGCCCCAAGATTTCCAAGGAGGGCAGAGCCTGCCAAGGAAGTAGAGGGGTTAGCCCAAGTTATGAGAAACAGGAGACCAGGAGAGCACAGTGTCATGGAAGCCACAAGTACAAGATTTCAAGAGAAAGGGAATAATCATCATGGTCGAATATATCAGAAAAGAGCTACCATCATAAATCAAAAAGAGTCCTGTGGCCCTGACTATTAGGAAGTAATTAATGAAGTTAGCAAGACAAATGTGGCAGAAATGTGAAGGTAGAACCCATGCTGGTCTAGAAATGAATTCGAGGTATGAAGCTGGAGGCAGAAAACCAAGATACTAAGTTGACAATGCAGATAAGAGCTGGGGGGAGATTAGGTACCTACTAGGGATGGGGTGGAGTCAAGGGAACACTTTATTGCTTGTGGAACAGAAAATGCTAGGACACGTACAGGGGTGGGGGGGGAATGTGAGTAGTGGGGAGAGGCTGCAGATGCAGAAGAGAAAGCAGGGTGCTGGAACGAGATGTCAAGGGTCACTGTGTTAATAGGTGGCCTCACTTTTCTCAGTGAAGTGGGGGGGATGTTGAGAAGTCTAAGGGAAGAAGTGTGGGTAACACAGTGAAGGCCTGAATTAGGCATGGGGTATGGGGAAGGAAGGAGCTGTCACAAGGCCATGGAGGAGCTAACTGGTGGTTGGTACCACGGTGCAGCTCAACAGGTGGGCGCACCTGACACTGTGGTAGTGTTTGTACGTCTGGCTGTGGGGTTTTCTCCAGAAGCCCTCGGGGGCCTGGACAGACATTCCAGACTCATCCAAGTGATGCAATTTTCCTATGTGGTTACATGGGAGTTGAAGGAGTTGGCTGAAGGGTGGTTCTGAAGATCTACCATGGGGTCTAGACCATGGGAAAAGAAGAGAGCACAAGGGAGCTGGCAACATAGGAGGAAACAGAGGCAATGAGGCACTGTAGTTCTCTTAACTGGCCAGCACCCAGGCTAGGTGCAGGGGAGACAATGAAAGCTAGAAGGACAGGAGCAGATTAATGCCGCTGATAACCCGTGACCTCCAGACTCAATTGGGACATTAGTGCTGCCCAGCCACATGGCTGTGAGATAAGTCACTCTTCAACTCTTCACAGTGATTATGTGACATCTTTCCCTGAGCTCTGACCATCTGTACTCTCACACCCCTGTTCTCTGGAGATGACCTCACCCTATAATTTAAAGAGTAAATGGAACCCACCAGACGAGAACTCCCAACCCTGTAAACGGTGCTGCATTCACCCTTATTTAAAGGTGTCTCATCCCATCTAACAGTGGCACCTTTACCTCTCTCTGAACCCCATCCTCCCTGCCCTGTATCTTGATGCTGCTGCAAGTTCCCTCCTTTTCTCCTGGGTAACTCTCCCCCTCCTCTACTGGCTCCACCTTCTCAGCTGACCATACACCAATCTTTTAAATAAAAGAGACACCCTCTTCATCTCTATATCCCTCTTCTCTCTCTTACTCTTCACAGATCAGCTCTGTCAGTATCATCTCCATTTGCTCTCTTCCCTTTTGGGTCATTCCTCAACCCACTCCCAAAGCTCATAGTTTACTGGGAGAAACAGCTAGGAATGCGGTACCATTCCTTACAGTTGTTACACTGAACTAGCCACTACTTATGCATCTGTATGTGTATCCTCCAGACTGCAAGCTAAGAGGGCAGAGGTGCTACCAGGGTTCCCACTGTCTCCCCAGAACCCAGCACACTGGCTGGCATGTAAAAGTCAGTATTGTTTGCTGAATGATCAAATGGGAGAACTGAGACCCATGCACACAAGGGACAGATCAGTCTGATATAACAGAAAGCGTCCATCTTGAGAAATTGTAGGAACCTATTTTTAGCAGTTAACATATAGACTAGGTCTGACAGTCAAACCGAGGAAGCTGGTTTTCTCAGTCACCATAAAATACAACTTGAGGTAGAAGACGGCATGTCTCTGGAATTTAGGTGAACAGACTGAGGGAAGAGCACAGCTACAGAGGCGTTTGTTCCTATAGAACTGGGGGTGTGGAGGAGGCAGAGGGCACTGAAATGAACAATGGCAATAAGGATATATCAGCAAGGCCTAGTGGTGGACTTACTACCCGTGTGGGAGGGGTGGTTAGCACAAAGCCCTTTCCCCTAAGACTGTTAAATGTGTTCTCTGGGGATTGTCTTTCTTTTCTCAGAATGATGTACTTCCAGTTTCAAACAAATAGTTGTTGGAAAATTAGGATTCAGACCTGGCTGGCAAGGATCAGTGGACTGAGTGCCAGATTGCAAGCAAAGGTCGCAGGTTCAATTCCCAGTCAGGGCACATACCAGGTCCCCAGTAGGGGGCGCTCAAGAGGCAACCACACAGTAATGTTTCTCTCCCTGTTTCTCCTTCCCTTCCCTCTCTCTAAAAAATAAATAAATAAAATGTTTAAAAATTAGGATTTAGTCCAATTTTTCTAGCATTTTACTTGTTCTGTTGGAAGGAGATCGTTAAGAAACCACAATCATTACCCAATCGTCATTATGTATTTAAAATGTACTAAAAAATTAGTCCATTTGCTTATCCATTTTACCTCACAATATTCGTGTAGATTAAATTAGTGACCTGTTACTAAAATGTGCAGGACGAAAATTACCTGTTGATCTGAATCTGCTTGTAGGACAGATCTGTCTGTAATCAGGACCGCCCTGGAAATCTGCCTGCAATGCACAAAACCATTAATCAGTGATTCCAATTCCATGGGTAAGTTTCATTTATAGTTATATAACCTCCAGAAGGCATGTTTCGAAGATATTAAGTCACGATGAAAGTGTTACCTCCCCAAAGCAAGTCAAGTTCTGCTTTAATCTTTCATTAGCTCATGACAGGAAGGGTGTGAGACCTGCAAACAAACCCCAGCTGATGCAAAGGAGTCAAAATTAGCCTATGCTCCCCCAAAACCAGACCCTACAAGAGAACAATGATAAAATGTCCAACATACTTTTTTTGGTGTATGTCTGCATCTTATTTGAACAATGGTTATATAGAAATATCGAGGTAATCACACAGTTACATTTCCCTGTGTTTCACCTTCCCACAGACAGTGGGTGAGGCAGCGCCTTACCTGTACTGCACACGCGAACATGTGTTCTCAGAAAAGTAACTGTCCTCCACAAGAAAATGCTTAGAGATTATTCTCTGACCAAACTGATCTATGATCGCTTTGCATCTGCAAAGAAGACAAGCACAGCAAACATGTTTTCATTGATGATTCAATAATTGAGCAAATGAACATAATCAGCTCCCAATTGTGAATCTCAAATCGATCGCTTGGAAGACAAGATTTTAACTTTACCTACAATTTGACACAAAACTGACACTAAGTACAGAATCTATATTCTTATAGCTTTTTGAAGACTTTTACCTATAAAATACATGTGAGAATAAAACTTAAATATTTATTTTGAATGATAGTGTTAAGAATAAAGTTAGGACACATATATAAGTTTTTCTAATGCTTAGGAACGTAAGAGGCTTCTTCCTTTGCTTAGAAAACAGGCGTTTTGTTTTCTTAACAGATCTAAGAAAAGGGGAAGAGAAAAGTTGATTAAATACCTTGCTATATTGTCCACAGCCTGTAAAAGCTACTACAGGCTTTTTATTTTTCTGTTATGTGTTGCTTTTTCTTTTGTTCAAGAACAGCTATCTGGTCACACGTGTGATAATGTTTTAGACAAAAAAAAAACAGGCTTAGAGCTTCTTTTAATATCTGTTTCCACTTTACTTCAAAGGAGGATCATAGAAACATTTCTTTCAAGTGCTGTTTCCAAATAAGGAAAACACTTCTGCATGGACATTATCAGGCCTCTGTCATCTGATATGTGTTGGGACAATGAATCATACCGAACTCTCCATTGACCTTCTTTCAATGTGTCTAGATAAAAGGATGAAAATTAGAATCCATCTCCTTGCAGTGCCACAAGTTATAAATGTACTTTATAGGGCTCATTATCCAAACTAATGGACTAAGGGCAACATCCTTGAAATGGACTTACCACCACCGACGAAGCCAGCATGCAATATTTCAGAAGCTATATGCAAATGCTGACATGTTTGCTGTATCTTTTTATGATGGGACTATAACAATTTACTTTTGTCACAGCTCCTCCTTATGGAACCAGAGTTATTTTATTGGGAATACATATATGTGTATTTATTAGGAATAATAAATGTGTATGCATTCCTAATAAAATGCAAGCAAATAACTTTAAACCTATGTCATATTTATATCTATTGGTATAAACTGAAATATAGTATATCACCCTAAAATTAAACCAAATAAGAGATATTAAACAGGCATAAAGGCATGAAAAATAAAATGACAAACACCCAAGACCACTAGTGAGATGAACGTAAGGTGTATTTCCTAAAGGCAATGATGACACACTGGTATTTCTCAATGAATGGTATGCTGCAGTTGTTGGGACAGACTATGAAATCTTGTGATGTTAGATACACATATGTATTTTAATCAATTAACCACATATTAATACATGTAGATTAATATTTACCATGCTTTTCCTATCTCATTCTCACTTCCTTTCTGCTTGTAACTTATGTTCCTGTTACATTCCTATGTTCTTATGTTAGACTTAGCTCCTATCTCTAACTCCTCACATTTCATTGAACTAGAGCTCCTTCTTGCCTTTTATAGAACTTAACTAAATGTATAAATACCTCAATACTGTATTTTCAAAAATAATGACTTAAAAAGTAAAAAGATAGGTTACTCCCTCAGACTCCTGTTTGAAAACATTCATACAGAGTTGAAAACACAAGGCACTTAGGCAACGGAGAGGAGAATCTGTGGATGCACCATTAAACACTGATCCCTATTTGTCCTGAAAGCTCTGAGACCCTACGTTCTTAACCTTGAACTCAGATACTACATAAAGTCAAGAGGGAATAATCTGGGCAGAAAAAAAGAAGGTGTTAAAATCTTCCATATCTTGATAGGAATTTGGGTTATACAGAGAAATGCATTTGCCAAAAGTCAGCTAACGAGCATCAAAAGAAAATGCTGAAAATATTAATAATATCCATGCTGAGGTGTTCAGGGGGTGCTGTACTTTTATCCAGACTTTACCATGACATGCTTAAAATTGGTGAAAAGATGGACAGAGGAGTAAACGTTTCAGTAGATATGTGATTAAGCAAATATAATGTTAACTGTAGAACCTATATGGTGGATATACAGGAGTTCACCCTGAAATTGTTCCAGCTGTGGTATAGATTTGAAATTTCTCATCATAAAATGTTGAACTGACATAGACAGGAGATGGTGTTAGTATAAATCCTGGACTCTGGTCTAAGTCTTTGCAAAACATTGCCATTTACATAAACCACAACATGAAACCTGGCCAGAAGCTCTGGGGAATTCCGTGCTCTGTAAGAATCCAAACTAATGGGGCTGCTGCAGTAGTGGTCACACCTTTGGTGACAGGTAGACATCAGTTCCAGAAGTCACGATATTGCAAGGAACTACTAAGGACCATGCAAAATGGAAGCATGGCGGCTAGGATTAGGCAGCTCAACAATGCAAGGATGATATACCAACAGATGTGCCTATGTATGCTGAAGCTTCTGCATGAAACAGTGATTGTCAGAGGAGGGGGAGAAGGAAGCAAATCAGAATCACACCCGGGGTACTTTTTCGGAGTATAAGTACCCCTGGAGATTCTGATAAACTCCCCAATCCCAGCGAGGAATCACTGTCCAGCGTGTCGCTGCCTCTACTGTACTTCTACGCTGTGTTAGGTAGAGGAAAGGCAAGAGCTACTACTACAAAAAAATACTGATTTCTACAGGAATTGAGTTTATGGTCACACATGTGCTTCATCAGTCTGGTAGATCAAAACAACACGACTCACCTGGCAGTCCCATTCTGAAGCACTAAGGTTCTAGGCCTGAACAATTCAAACAAAGCAAGACATGTTTAAGTGAGTGGTGAGATTTATTTCCCTCTCAGACACTTGATTTCCTGTCATAGATTTGGCCTACTTGGGAGAACAATGAAGAAAGGAATACTGATTTGGGACCTACACTCAGAGTTTGTATTGTAAGATTAATATAAAAATTAAATGGCAGGTGATGGAAAACAGCCAAAGGAAACAGTGTTGCCAACCTCTTCCAGGTGAACTCGAGGAAGCCATTAAAGATTAATAGCATTTTGGATTTAGTTGAGGGCCTTGCTGAACCTCATAAATAGTAAATCAAGGAGGAACATGATTGGAGGTCCCCATTACAGGGACACAAAGACAAAGCTGATCCTAAGAATCACTGAAGCCAGACAGAACACTTCTAGAGCTGATGTTACTAAATCAACAAATCACGGGGGTATAGAAATAGCAAAATGCCAACAAGGACAAAAACACTCAGTAAGATGTCAACTCTTCATCTGAAACTTGGCCCAGAAGAGAAAAATAACATTAAAAGAGGTATCTGATCTCTGTGATCTTCAGAATTAATATCCCAACTAACTGTATGGTATGTAGGGCAGAAATCACATATGAAATAATTTTTAAAAAAGACATTAATTAAGGGTATTAGAAGATTCCCAAGCACTGAGAGAAACAAAACAATTCTCCCTGCTTGCTATGCCCTTCCATGATTTCTGAGAGACATTAGTGCACGTGCCACCTCATCAATGACACCATTCCAAAATGCTTACTATGCATTTCTCTTGGGTGAAAATCCACTGCAACAGTTTCAAACACCATTAACCAGCTCTGATCAATCCAAAGCTCTGTATCCATATTATTTTTAAGTATATTTTATTGATTATTTACAATTGTCCCAATTTTTCCCTTTATCCCCCTCCACTCCAGCATTCCCCCTGCTCTTAGTTCAGGTCCATGGGTCGTACATATTAGTTCTCTGGCTTCTTCATTTCCCATACTATTCTTAACTTCCCCCTATTTTCTACCTACCATTTATGCTTCCTATTCCCTGTACCTCCCCCCCTATTCATCCACACTTCCTCCCCCTCCCCACTGATAACCTTCCATATGATCTCCATTTCTGTGATTCTGTTCCTGTTGTAGTTGTTTCCTCAGTTTTTGTTTTTTAGGTTTAGATGTTGATAGTTGTGAGTTTGTTGTCATTTTACTGTCCGTAGTTTTTGATCTTCTATTTCTTAGATAAGTCCCTTTAACACTGTTTATTATAAGGTCTTGGTGATGATGAACTCCTTGAACTTGACCTTGTTTGGGAATCACTTTATCTGCCCTTCCATTCTAAATGATAGCTTTGCTGGATAGAGCAATCTTGGATGTAAGTCCTTGCCTCTCATGACTTGGAATACTTCTTTCCAGCTCCTTCTTGCCTGTAAGGTCTCTTTTGAGAAATCAGCTGACAGTCTGATGGGAACTCCTTTGTAGGTGACTGTCCCCTTAGCTCTTGCTGCTTCTAGGATTCTCTCTTTCATTTTAATGTTGGCTAATATAATGATGATGTGCCTTGGTGTGTTCCTTCTTGGGTCCAACTTCTTTGGGACTCTCTGGGCTTCCTGGACTTGCAAGTCTAGTTCCTTTACCAGATTGGGGAAGTTTTCCTTCATTATTTGTTCAAATAAGTTTTCAATTTCTCGCTCTTCCTTTTCTCCTTCTTGGCACCCCTAGGATTTAGATGTTGGAATGTTTAGAGTTGTCCCATATTTTAAACTATGTATTATCTATTTCTTTCTGGAGACACTCCAGATGCTTTTTAAACCTAGCATGTCCCAAACTGAATTCATCATGGCTCCCCATCTTCTTACCCTCTTGGAACCCCGGCACTTAACAGAGATTCTCTGTTCCCACATCTAATCTGCTCCTCAATTTTCATTCCACCTGATAAAAATTTCTTGAAACTCACCTCTTCTCTCCATCTCCACCCATACTGCCTTAGACTCTTGGTAAGTCTAATAAGACAACAGGCTACTAGCAAGTTGGTAGCTCATTTGCTTGATAGAAATGTGTGGCATAAGAACCTGTTCTCACTGTTTTAGGGGTGAGAATAAAAGCATAGATTTGGACACGGGAAATTATAACACAATGCCCAAATCCAGTGGTAAGAGATGAGGATAGTGCATTTGGAGATCACCCTGGGGGAAAGGGGTGGGCTATGAGAGAATGATCTAGGAGGACATACTACATTAGCTGCATCTGAGGAATGAGAATCAGTTAAACA